AATCCACCCTCAACGGTAAGGTTTTCGGTATAACCACAGTTCTTGCATCGGAGATGCATCTGGGTAGCTTTGGACGATATCGTCGAGGCGCCAATAACGATACCCGGGATTCGCACGAGATGTGAGATATTTGTAGCGTTGAGGTCTCGGATCGAGATATGTGTTGCGGACGAGTGGAGCAAGAGCTGATGAGGTGGGAGTTCGACGTCTCTTTGGGAGGGATATACAATGCGTCGAGTACATTCTTGAAGGGCCGACTCGAACTGAAGTCGGTAAAAGTACTGATTAGAGCTGTCTCGACCTAAGAAGGAATTGATGGGCTTACGAGGGGGATGATGTTTGCAGGCTCGGTGGTGAGCTTGTGGGCCAGCTCCTCGTTGTACGAGATCATGTGTGCAATATCAATGTCGCAATAGTATTGCTTGACCAAGACATTTTGTCTCAATTGGTCACTGCGATGGCAAGTCAATATCAAGATGTGGCATACAAGGCGGCGGCGTCAACATACCGATAGATAAATGCATTATCCAATTGAAACTCCAAGACGAACTCCCTCAATTTCGCTTGGATCTGACTGCGAGAGTCATCGACACCATCGACGCTGGGAGCGAGGACGCTCAGAGTGTAGGGGGTGCGTCTATCCATGGTGGTGACGGCAGTGACAAGAGGTGGGGTGGCAGTTGTGATGAGGTGTGTAGGTTTTCGGTGTATCCCGTTGCGAGGAGAAACTGCAAATATCTTCCTGAGCAACGGCACACGAATGGAACGCGTCGCGTCGGTCTCACGCGTTAAGTGGTTTTTGGCCTAAGGCAAAGATCAATTTAGTTACGGAACAACCCAGCCCCGGGTTCCGAGGGGGCTCGGATGGGTCTTTGTCATCCCTCATTCCCGGGGCCTGGCGCCTTACCCGATCGGGTTCGAGCTATCATGAACCCCCCCCGTATCAGATGGAGCTGGGTGACGTTGCAGCAAGAGTCAATTGCTTCCAATTTGCTCCAAGCTTGCCCTCTCTTGCCGTTCAATCCTGGTTCCCAGTGGTGAACACTGCTTGCTAGTGTACTGCTGGCTGCTATACCACAACTGTCCACTTGTCATGTTCACATAGTTTTCCCTTCCTAACAGCACGGTGACCGCGGGACTTGTCAGTCGCCAAATCGGCATCAATATGTCCTCTGCCAGTCCCCGGAAGTCGATTGACAGCTTGGCCTCAGGCGCCTCAACTCCTTCTCTATCTCAGTTCTCATTCACACAGATCGAATCCCCTCGGATCTCATCACAAAGATACCCCTTAAGGAGAGGATCAACCGCAAGCTCGATCGCAAGCATTGGGGGAATTCTGGATCCCTCCAGCCGCCATGGGTCTATCGCTGAATCTGGACAGAATGGTACGGCCCAGTTTACTCTACTTCGAACACTGAAGGTTAACCTCATTTCTCAACGACAGCAATCTCTACTCTCCTGCAGCCTCCGATTGTGCGCACGGGTCTTGTGCCTCATACCGCCGTTGGCACCGCCGGATACAAACCACCGACGACTCGTGACATTCCTCCTGTTACCTTGACCAATATCCCACATGTGGACTCTAAAGCGTTCGAATCATATCTCTCTCAAGTTGGATCGTTGTATGATGCCTTCCAGCAAGCCAAAGAAAGCAATACAGAGCAGGACTCGCAATTAGTGCGGGCAGGAGGCAAGGCCTCACCGAAGCCGGAAGATTCGGACTCTTTGGCTCCTGCATCGCGGGAACGCCGACCGTCAACTCTGTCGAATCACTCTCGAGCGACCTCTCCATATGATACGCGGGGCAGGAGGCGGTCATACGCTGGCCGTGGTCGGGGTCAAGCCGTTACTCCCTTGTCCACAATCCCCACAGTATACTTCGAGGATGACTTCCGTCTCGAGAATCCGCGAACGTTTGATGTGGTGTCGGAGAAGTCTGGAATCATAACTTCCAAAGACAAATCGGAGAATGGGGCCGCCGTGGAGTCAGCTGCCACGGGGAGGAAGGCTCTCGCTACGAATGCTATATTGCAAGAAAAGCTTTCATGGTACATGGACACCGTGGAAATTCACCTGATCTCTTCTATCTCCACGGCTTCTAAATCTTTCTTTACCGCACTCGGGTCTTTGCGAGAGCTCCATGCAGAAGCCGCCGACTCGGTGAAACGCATCCAAGTCTTGCGGAAGGACCTACAGAAGATTGACCGTGAGATGGCTCTAGGAGGTCTCAAGATTGTGAATCTGCGGCGACGGAGGGAAAATGTACGTATGCTGGCGGATGCCGTGGCACAGCTCCGCGATGTGGTCGAATCAGTTTCCCGATGTGAAGTGCTCGTCGAGAATGGTAACATCGAGGAGGCTGCCGATGGCCTTGAAGAGGTGGAGAGATTGATGGCGGGGGAACAGGCTGCAAGTCCATTAAAGACAAACGAAGAACAGCAACAATCGAAGAGGACGGTCGACTTACGGCGACTGAAAGCGCTCGAAGGTGCGTCTGAGGACTTGGACCAACTAAGATCTCGAATTGGTAGCGGCTATGAGAGCCGTTTCTTAAGTGACCTTCTCGGCGACCTGAGACAGCACGTTGAGGATGTACCGCTAGATACTACGCTACAGCGATGGGGATTCTCTTTCCAGCGACAACGCGGTGCACGCTCCGGCGCCGCGCAATCTCCCGCCTATATGAATTTTGACGAGCAACTGCGGTCGAAACTGCGCATGCATCTCACTGGTCTTGCTCGTGTACGCCACACAACACCTGCAGCGACTTCCTTCAAGACAGCAGTTCTACGCGAGATGAAGAGTCTTATCCGCAAGCATATGCCCAGCTCCAGCGACGACGACAGTGAATCGGTGGTGTCAGTGTCCACGCACAAATCCCAACAGCTTAGTCAACAAGAAAAGTCGTCGATCCTTGCGCGCAACCTCCGCGCCTTGGACGCTCAGGACTCGTATGAAATGCTAGCCAAGGTATACACTGGGATCAGTGAATCTTTGAGAAGACTCAGTGTTCAAGTCAAAGTTCTTCTGGATATCGCCAGTGGATTGGGAAATCCTGTCTCGTTGGGTGTGCGCTCCGGCCCCCCAAGCCCAAACCCGCAAGGCCCGACGACTCCGGCCTTGGAAGCAGAGAGGACTGCGGCCCTCATGGCGCAAGATGAGATTCTACAGGTTCTGGACATGTCCAGTCTTCTTGGCCAAGCGGTTGACATTGCTCAGTCTCAAGTTGTTAAGGTCCTGAAAGTCCGCTCGGAACAGACATCTCAGTTGCCGATGGAAGACTTCCTCAAGTACTTTACACTGAACCGACTCTTTGCGGACGAATGTGAGGCTATCTCCGGTAGAGGCGGCGCCGCATTGAAAACGGTTGTGGGAAATCAAATTCGAGATTACATCAACCGGTTTGGCGACAGCCAACGGCGCCGCATTGTCGAAGTTATGGATTCTGACAAATGGGACGCACGGGACTTCGGAGAGGACGAGAACGCTATCCTGGACCGGATGCTTAGCGCAAGTACGCGAGATATCGAGCTCTGGACTGATGCATCCAAAATTTGGCTGTCCTCAAACGGACACCAGGAACCGAAACCTACAGCGCCATTCACAACCAATGGTACGGGTAAGGAGAAGCTGCGGAGTGCGGTGATCGACGAGCAGAAGTACATTCTCACCGAATCCGGAGTGGCGATGATGAGGAGCATCGAAGAGTTCCAGTTCCTCATGGCGAATATTCCCAGTATGATGCAGGACATTGCACCCGGGCTTCTGGAGTCATTGAAGCTGTTCAACTCCCGGTCTTCGCAGCTGATCCTGGGTGCTGGCGCCACGAGAAGTGCGGGCCTAAAGAACATCACCACGAAACACCTGGCTCTATCCTCGCAGGCACTCAGCTTCATCATTGCGCTGGTTCCCTATGTCCGCGAGTTTGTCCGCCGACACGCGCCCTCGATTCCGCTGCTGGGCGAGTTCGACAAAGTGAAGCGGCTGTATCAGGAGCACCAGAACGGCATCCATGAGAAACTGGTTGACATCATGGGGTCACGATCTGCCATCCACGTGAATGCCATGAAAAAGATCGACTGGGATGCTTCTGCTGGATCCACCACTGTGAGCCCATACATGGAGACGCTGGCCAAGGAGACGGGCACCTTGCATCGGGTGCTGAGCAAGCACCTTCCCGACATGACCGTCATGATGATCATGGATCCTGTGTTCAAGAGCTACCGCGAGCAGTGGACGAAAGCCTTTGACGAGGTCAAGGTGACTTCGGAGGCGGCCAAGCAACGGTAAGATATGAACTGCCTCTAGAGGACGGACGCAGCTAACACAAGCTTGCAGGTTGCAACGTGATGCGGAGCACTTCCAAAGCAAGCTGAGCAAGATCGATGGCTTTGGCGATCTGGGCCAGCGACTCTTGGAGCTGGTGCAACAGAAAAGCCTTGTCACGGAGCCACGCGAGTCCAGCCCGGTCGACGGAAGTTCATCGAAGGGGTCGTCCGAGACCACCGACACTGGCCGGAGCCAGAAGTAGCTGTCTGGCTAGTATATACATTCGCCTTGTATCGATCCCTTGGCTCAGATCCCATTGCTCAGTGTATGGAGGCGTGAGGCTGTCTGACCTCATTGACTGTTCGTTTATCGTACATAGAAGTGCAGCCAGGAGACATACTCTCGCTTACTCGGGCAGCAGCTCCAGTGAGCCATTTCTTCTATATATACATACTTAATTCATGCACCTACATATGATCCCTCTTGCAAACTCTAGAACCACCCCTGCCCAGGTCCCGTCAAATACACCTTCTTAGCATAACTCGGTCATATACTTCCCCCAAACAACATCCCAACTGCCCAAACTCAACTCCAAGACCAAAGCTGCAACATCCTACGGAAGTGTAGACACTCGACCAACAGTCTAATCCACAACTACTTCATGTACTACCCTTTCCCGACACACCCCCACCCCCCAGAACAAGAGCAAGAATATCCAATGAACAAACAAAGTCCATTAATCTGAGCCCCTAACCAGTAGGCACCGTCGTCGTAACCAGACGATCAATCATCATCATCATCCACACATCACAAGTGGGACAAAAAAAGCATCTAATCATACATCCAAAAGCAGGATATCATATATCCCCCCCGGCAACCGCGTCAATCGTAAGCCGTTGTGTAAAAAAAAACGATTCATCATCTCCCGAAAACTCCAATGCAATCAGAAAAGGTTTCTGGTCATGCAGCCAGCCACCGATCTACTGGCCGGGCAGGGCACCGGTCCCCTTCTTCCCGCCGAGGGTGTTGGGCTCGTGGCCGCCCTTGCCGCTGCCGGTCTTGTTGGGGCCGGAGCTGCCCTGGGCGCTGATGAAGCCGCTGGCCTGGCCGGATTCTTCGGGGAGGGGGGCGGTGCGCTGGGCGCGGTTGAGGGTGTCGTTCTTTTTCGGAGGTGTTAGTGGTTGTTCGTTCGACGTTGTGTATATGCAAAAACAGAAGGGAATGGGGAGGGCTTACATCGGGGTTGGTGCCGTGGACCTTGGTCTGGCCGGCCTCGATGGCGTTGTCGCTGTGGGGGACACCGTCGTCGTATTCGGCTCCGCGAGGCATTTTGTGGGTGGGTTTGTGGTGGTGGTTGAAAAAGGTAGAGAGAGGTGGTTTGGTTTGGTTGCTGGGGTTGGGATCGGGTTAGCTTGGTTACTGCTTTGACGATGGGCGTGTCGTAGATGACTTACTGTAGTTTGAGAGTTTGAGAATTTCGTAGTCGTTGTCTTGTGATTGTGATGAAGACGGTAAGGAAAGCAAGGGAACTTATATGTTGAGTCTGGTGGTGATGTGTTCATTGATTCTGGGATGCGCACGTCGAGTGCTGACAGCATCATGAAGTCATTATCCCCACCCAATGACTTCATGGGACCCGGTCTGAGATCAGGTACAGTCACTTCTCTCGCTCACTCTTCCATCCTCTTCGCTGCGTGTTGGACATGGTAGTGATCGGCGAGGGGTAAGACATGTTAATGCTTTGATTTCATTGCGCATTCAATTGGGGGTGGACTATCTGCGTGACTGATGTGGTCGTAGGCTGGCGAGCGGAAAGTGTGTATATTGGAGTGCACAGCACGGGATCCGGAATTGGAGGCGGGAGTCCGAGGGTCGGGTTTTCCTGCAGATGGGAAAGGGTCGGGTTACACTGAAGGGATCCTTTGAGACCTCCGATTTGATCAAGATCTCAATGATCTTGGATCTGAGTATCATCGTGCTAGGGTTAGCTCACCGATAGTTCATTCAAAGATTAAAAGATCGGAAGATTTGTTACCGCTGGTTGTTGATGGCTGCGATGCTTCCCTTCGGCATTGAACCAAGCAAACTGTCCGGACTCAAGGTCCAGGCCCAAGATGGCCAGTTGGCACCCGTGCCGTTTTTTCTTGGGTTGAGATTCAAACTTCAGGCCTACATGTATTATCACCATCCTCCCTTCTGTGTCTCTTTGTTTCGGCGGGTTTTCCAATCCCTTCCATATTTGCGACACAGAAACCCGTGAAGCTTCACCTTAGATCATCAAGCAGTGTCGAATATTAGACAATGGGAATTAGAATTACAATCCCGAGCTACACATACCCACCACCCAGTGATATATAGCTTACAACACTACAACCGTTCCAGCTGACAACCCACAAGAACACAAGCCATAATCACAATCCAACCCCAGCAGCAGCAGCAGCAGCTCCCCTCCCCTCATCTCTACTCTCCCTCCTTCCCATCCAGACACAACCCCCAATTACTACCCAACCCCTCGGACCAATTCACATCGCCGACCAGCCCGTTCCCACACAACCTGTTAAATTCCCCCCAAGCCCCGGGGCTCCACTTCCCGCGCACCCTCGGCTTCATAGCGAAAGCAACCCGGTATGCGCAAGCGACCGGCTCCGACCCCGGTCTCACCTCCCACATCCCCTTCCTCCGCTCACGCAACCGTCTTAGCCCGGGATGAACCGGGGCGAGAAACACGGAGCGCGCATGTAGAAGTGGCCAGGTTTCCCGAGTAACAGGCGACAGGCGACGGGTGCCAAGAGGGCGATGATGGCCTCGGTTATGGTTACGTTGACCGTGGACAGTACGGTACGGAGGGCGCTTTACCGATACCGCAAACGGCTTGGGCGGGGGGAAGGGAAAAAGCGATCGGGATCGTGAGCCGTGGGGGTTGCGCGTGCGTGCACCGGGGAACAACGATTTCGGTCTCGGTCGGGTCATGGATGGCCTTTGCGTTTGTGCGAGGAGGACGAGGCGATGGTGGGGGACGGGGAAAGGTCAAGGCCATGGCCAAGGCCAAGGCCAAGGCCGGGGGCTGGGTGGTGGTGGTGGTGGTGGTGTAGTAGTTGTTGTTGTTTGTCAATGTCAACGCTTGGAGGAGGGGCTTAGTGAGGATGCTAGGCAGGTCTGGATTGTTTGATGGATGGGGCCTTGCGGAGTAGGTAGCTCGTGCGGCGGAGATGGGCCGGTCGCAGCGTTGGCCAGAACAACTACCTAGTACTGTGAACCGCGACGATAATTAGAAAGTATCTAGACAAGAGGTAAGTAAGCGTTAACGGGCATAGTTACTATTTTGGTTCTTTTTGTTTGGGGGTGCGGAGAAAGAGGGGTCATTTCAATGACTACTAGGATCGTGGGCAAATAAAGGCATTCGGAGACGGTGAATGCGATGGAGCTGGGGCCCCCCAGAAATCTAGCTGACAAGCCATATTGGCACTATGAAAGATCTGGTTAGATTGCCGCTAGCCAAAAAGTTAAGACGGTCGAGACGGAAGAGCTGAAGGTGCTCTTTAGAGGAATCTTCCAGATCGAGGAAATGGTGAGGGGCATCAGTGCAGCGAGGATAACGCGGCCGCGGAGATGATAGATCCTCATAGATGACCTGGGCTTGTTTGCTGCTCCGGAACTGGCCGAGGCCCTACGTGAGATCTTTACTTAATACTAATGTGGTAACTGCATCCAATTCAAAGTGGACCTTAAACTCCAGTATGCAAGGGTATCTGACGACGTGACAAGAACCAAATCCAAGCTAATGCATTCCACCGACCAAAACCACGCCGGGGCCTAGCTTGGATCCAAAACGCCCAACACCGCCCTAAACTAATCAGACCTGTCAGGTAGACAGCCTAGCGCCTGGGGCACTCGGTTGCGGCTGATCTGGACCCTCAGTCCGTTGAAAATGATATGGTAGAATAGATCGACCTCCTCGTGGTCCAAGTCGAACGACAAAGAGCTCTCTTGGGACTCGGACAAGATACTCGTGGCTCTGGTATCGACGCTCGACAGGCGACTCTCTGGACGAGTGCTTCGCGTGGAGGTCAGAGAGTGGGTATAAGAGCTCGATCGCATTGTAGATGAGAGGAACGGTCGTAGCGAGCGGATACTGTCCGCAGGTTCGGACTCCGGGTCAGGATTGACAACAACGAGCCTTTGTGGGGGTACGTGCATGTAACCGCCTTCGACGAGGGCAGAGATGCCGTTATAGTTGATGGCCTGCGAGTCGGGCGATACAGGATTGTTGACCTGTTTCATGTCCGGTTGAGGCGTAGGGGGTTCGCTCGATTTCTGGAAGGACTTCCAGAGCCCCTGTAGGACTCTCCACGGTGCTCGACAATTCGATTTCGACATAAGGCCCCGAAAGTGGCTCTGGATTTGCTTCATAGGCATGGCCTAATCTTGATCGATGGCAAAGTGGGTATAAGTGGAGGTTGGTATGATCCGGCGTTGGTGGCAAGCGGGGGCGGGGATGAGGGGAAGAGGGTGACGGGCTCTGACTGTGAGGCTGAGCTGCGACTCGAGCCACTCACTAGAAGACCAAAGATCAGATGTATGGGAAATGAAGAGCAACGCCGATCCACTGAGGTAGAAACATTGGAGAATCTCAAGTCACTCCTGGCACAGCGCCTACCGCGCAATTCACTGAAAAGTGCGATAGAGATGCTGCGCAGGACATTTCCGGTCGATCCAGCTGAGGAGCAGCCATGGCATTGTTAAATGTCTTGTTACTAAAGGTCTGAAGATCCAAGACGGAGCGGTAAGAACGAGTTTCGGGGAGTGTATGAGTTGGAAGTAAATCATGGCGAACTCAATTGCGCGAACTGGTGACCACGAATGCTATTGTTTTGTCGCTCGGAAGATAAAGGCACAAGAGAGGAGAACACAGTAGGCTTGAATGGCGCATGAGTGCCGTCAGCATGGAAGATTTGCAGCACGAGGGGTGGCTGCTCTGCATCAGATTAAAAGCAACAAGACGGCACGATTGGCAAGCGAGGACCGTGAGGCGGTGGGCGGGTGGACGGTGACGTCAGGGTACGAAGCAGCTTTCCCCAGATTTGCCCAGATTTACCCAGTTTTTTACCTAATCCGGCTGCCGGAGCCAAGCGGAGACAAACTTTGGTTTTTCGAGGTACGGTAGGTACAGTACAATTCATACGTTGTTGAGAGAGGGGAACCAAAATAAAAAAAAATATTAAAAAAAGGAACGACACCGTTACAATTGCTGATGGGGACATCCATTGGGATGGGGGCATTTTCCCTGATACGAGATCACCGCTTGCCTCCTCGTTCACCCCCTCCTTCGCTCGACCATGGCGGAAATCGATCGTTCCCTTGTGTGTCACGTAAAATGAACAAATGAGACCACCCCCCTGTTCCCCTATCCTTGTTCGAGAGGAGGCAACAAAACGTAAAACTCGCAGACGGCGGCAGCAGCAGCAGCAGCAGCAACAGCAGCAACAGCAGAGTAACATAAGTCTGAGCTTCGATGGAGTGGTCTTATTGCAACGCTTTCCACGGATCATCATCTGGTCGGATGATTCTGCAATTGACGGGACCAACCGGGGGTTGTCATTAGCCGGGGGTCCCTCTTCCAAGCTTCCCAGCACTCCAGAGATTCTCCAGAAGAGGCCGAGGCCAGAACTGGGGATGCGTCCGTGCAACGCCAACCTTTAGTTTAGTTCAGCTGTTAGCCCAACCTGCTCCCGGTGAGCTCGACAGAGCGACAGAGACACAACACGAAGGATATCTTATTTAACAGAATTGAATGAAGGGTAGTAGGAAATGAAGGGAAAGGAAGCTAATTTCTGCCCTTCCCCTCCCTGTTTTTAAATTGTCCCTAGCAACCTCGCAAATTAAGGAAATGACAGGATTTCGCCTGGCAGGTTAGCGGTTGTGAACTCCGTATTGGACCTTGAACTCCGTCCTGTACGGTACTACTAGTATACTAGTAGGAGTAGCAGCAGCAAGCCTGCCTGTTTCTCTCCCTCTTCCTCCCCCCGCCACCCACCTTGTATTTCTCCCCGCACGTCACCATCTCCTCCTCCTGGAGATTTTCTTCTCTCTCTTTTCTTCTTTTTTTTTTCTTTACTTCTTTGCTCTTCTCTCTACATTTCTTCCCCTCTTTCCCCCCCCCAAACCCCTCCCATTCCGTCACCAAGAGTGTGTTGACGTGAGTTTAAGTAGCTCATCGTCGGATTCTCTTTCTCTCCAGCTTATCGTTAGAGCTTCCTCCGCACCCGCTTTATTGCACCCACACAGCTCTTTCGGCGCACAATGGCGAGCGAAGACAACGGTCAAGATCCTCCCAAGCGAGATGTTCGCAACCACCTGCTCTTTGAGATCGCAACTGAGGTCGCCAATCGGGTGGGAGGTATCTACTCCGTCCTCAAGTCTAAAGCTCCCGTCACCACCGCCGAGTATGGTGAACGATACACCCTGATCGGACCGCTCAACCGAGCCTCCGCAGCGGTTGAGGTCGAGGAACTGACTCCATCGAACCCTCGACTGATTGAGACAATCCAGTCCATGAAAGAGCGTGGCATTGAGATTGTCTATGGCCGCTGGCTGATTGAAGGTGCCCCTCGTGTGCTACTCATTGACACTTCAACTGGTTACAAGTACTTGGACGAGTGGAAGGGAGACCTGTGGAATACGGCCGGAATTCCCTCTCCCGCAGGAGATACCGAAACGAATGAGACCATTGTGTTTGGCTACTTGGTAGCATGGTTCCTGGGTGAAGTATGCGACTGAGAAATCCCACAGGCATAAATGAAAGTGCTAACCAAGTGTCGTAGTTCATCGCACACGAACGTCGCAAAGCAGTTGTGGCTCATTTCCATGAGTGGCTTGCTGGTGTTGCCCTTCCTTTGACGAAGAGGCGCCATATGGACCTAACCACGATCTTCACCACCCACGCCACACTGCTCGGTCGCTATCTATGCGCAGGGTCGGTAGACTTCTACAACAACCTGCAGCACTTTGACGTCGATGCAGAGGCCGGTAAGCGCGGCATCTACCATCGATACTGTATCGAGCGGGCTGCAGCGCACACGGCCGATGTCTTCACAACCGTCTCTCACATCACTGCCTTCGAAAGCGAGCACTTGCTCAAGCGGAAGCCCGATGGTGTGCTACCGAACGGACTGAATGTGAAGAAGTTCTCAGCTGTTCATGAGTTCCAGAACCTGCACTCGCAATCGAAGGAGAAGATCAATGACTTCGTTCGTGGACATTTCTACGGCCACAACGACTTCGATCTCGACAACACTCTGTATGTCTTTACTGCCGGTCGCTATGAGTTCCGCAACAAAGGTGTGGATATGTTCATCGAAAGTCTGGCGCGTCTCAACCACCGCCTCAAGGCGAGCGGATCAAAGACAACGGTCGTCGCCTTCATCATCATGCCTGCTCAGACTTCGTCACTCACTGTCGAGTCGCTGAAGGGCCAAGCTGTCGTGAAGTCGCTTCGCGAGACCATCCATAACATCGAGCAGGGCATTGGCAAGCGCATGTATGAGCGCTCTTTGGCATGGAAAGAGGGCGACAACATGCCGGATGAGAAGGACCTGATTACGAGTCAAGATCGCGTTCTTTTGCGCCGTCGGCTTTTTGCCATGAAGCGCCACGGCCTGCCGCCTATCGTTACCCACAATATGGTTAATGACCATGAAGACCCAATTCTGAATCAGATCCGTCGGGTGCAGTTATTTAACCACTCGTCGGACCGAGTCAAAGTGGTCTTCCATCCTGAGTTCCTGAACTCCTCCAACCCAGTGTTGCCGCTTGACTATGATGACTTTGTGCGCGGCACCCACCTTGGAGTTTTCCCCTCTTATTACGAGCCGTGGGGATACACCCCTGCCGAGTGTACGGTGATGGGCGTTCCTAGCATCACCACCAACCTTTCTGGTTTCGGTTGCTATATGGAGGAATTGATCGAGAACTCGTCCGACTACGGTATCTATATTGTGGACCGTCGCATGAAAGGGGTGGATGACTCCGTGAACCAGCTTACGGACTTTATGTTGAACTTTACTCAAAAAAGCCGGCGACAACGGATCAACCAGAGAAACCGGACCGAGAGATTGAGCGATCTTTTGGATTGGAAGCGGATGGGTCTGGAGTACGTTAAGGCCCGGCAGCTTGCTCTGCGGAGAGGTGTGTATTCCCCTCGTGACTTGGACACTCACTATTAGGTACTGATCAGCGTTTGTAGCTTATCCTTCGTCGTTTGAAAACGGAGAGGACGTTTACGATATCATCGGGGGCACAGAGCAGAAGATCTCGCGTCCCCTCTCTGTTCCTGGATCTCCAAGGGACCGATCTGGAATGATGACCCCGGGAGACTTTGCCTCCCTCCAGGAGGTCAAGGAAGGTCTCAGCACGGAGGACTATGTTGCTTGGCGACTTCCGTAAGTCGAGCCCTGATACTTGTGGAGAACATGCAGTCGCTGACCAGTTTTCAATGCACAGGACCAGCGAGGAAGAAGAGCCAGATGACCACTACTTCCCTCTTACTCTCCGAACGAAGAAAGCCACCGATCGGCCTGCCTCCCCGCTCGACCGGCTTTCGTTGAATGGTGATGCATGATTGATTGTCTATACGATACCAACCGACATCCAAGTCCTTCTTTCCTTCATGTGAAACACATTGTTATGTAGTTGTTGCATTTTGTGCCAGTCCTTTGCCTTCGTCCGAGCATGCTTGCAGTTTTGACTATTGTCGAATTGTCTCGATTTGTAGGTCCTGAATACAGCGCATCGTTCCGTTTGCCGTGCTCCATTAGTTTGGTTCTTTTCACCCCCTTGTTTAATATTGATATGTTCCCTCTCCTTCGCATGCCTCGATTGTACATCCTCTCTACTCAGTCACCACACAGATTGGAGATTAGATACTTCGAATGCACTGAACCATTCCGTCCATAGCCAGTATTTTTATGGTGACACTTGGTGGTAGACATGGAGAGGCCAATACACAGGGATTGTAGTCCGAAACGGGAGCTGAAGGAGTTCACAGTGGTGATTGTCCTCGAGACGCCAAGAGGTTGAGTCATTTAATGGATTAATGGACACAGAGGGAGAGAGTTGTGGTGCGGGTCTTCGGAGCGGGGAGCTGCGAGAGGATCAACACCAGCCAGGATCATTGAGACATTGAGAGATCCAGCCCAATTAGACTTTGGGATTATCGCTGGTGAGCGGAGAATTGCGCTTCGGTGAGAAGGTAGTGGTAGTATGGCACCTGCAGCACAATACGTGCTGTACATGTGATGGTGGTGGGGGTTCGTTTCCACATCAGTTTCCCTGTTCCCCTCCCTCCCCTCCCCTCCCCTCTCTCTCCTACTACTTATACTTCCGTTCCCCTCTCTCTTCCTCTCGTCCCCTTCCTCTTCCTCTTCCTCTTCTCTTCTCTTCTACCTTTCATCCTTCTCATTACACTCTTCAAAACCTCAATTTAATCTCCAATTTCCGCCGTACACTATCGTCCGGTACGACTCACAATGAAGCTACGCAATCAGGATGACTTTCCGAGTCTTCTCGCTAGGGTTCAGACGGATCAAGGTATCGTACTAGTATAATGGCAGTCACAGCTCGCGCATGACAGGTGTTCGACTCGAGTCTCCGCCCTCCTCTCGGAATGGGGCAGGGACTCGGTCGTTCTGAGATTATACTGTCATAACTTGATCTAGATAATACTAGCGAAAGGACATGCGTGGCATTGATTGTTCCATACCCCTATACACAAGATGGAAAGGGGAGCTCTGTCTCCCCATTGCTGACAATGTCCAGTACTTTGATCTTGACTTGAACTCTGTGCCAAGATGTCTACTGACAAGATCACCTTCCTGACCAACTGGTACGCAACAATAATTCTTACAGGTAGCCTCATATGTGGGATCCCTGCTAAAGCTGTTGTGTTTCAAGGCACGCGACCCCGTACCACGCCCCCCTTTACCTTGCGCAGAGCAAAGGCTTCTTCAAGGAGGAGGGCCTCAAGGTTGCTCTGCTCGAACCCAATGACCCCTCCGATGTCACCGAGATTATCGGCAGTGGCAAGGTTGACATGGGTTTCAAGGCCATGATCCACACTCTGGCCGTATGTGCTCCCCAGATCAACAGCTTCTGCTGGTTGCTAACCATTGCGATCAGGCCAAAGCTCGTAACTTCCCGGTCACCTCGATTGGCTCTCTCCTCGATGAGCCGTTCACTGGAGTCATTTACCTCAAGGGTAGCGGGATCACCGAAGACTTCCGCTCTCTGAAGGGTAAGAGGATTGGTTATGTCGGCGAGTTTGGCAAGGTGCGTACAATACAGACCACCCCCCTCCCGTGCCCTACGCTAACTGATAATCATAGATCCAAATCGATGAGCTGACCAAGTACTACGGCATGACGGCGGACGACTACACCGCTGTGCGCTGCGGCATGAACGTGACCAAAGCGATCATCGAGGGCACAATCGACGCGGGAATTGGTCTCGAGAACGTGCAGATGGTCGAGTTGGCCGACTGGCTGGCGAGCCAGAACCGCCCGCGCACCGACGTGCAGATGCTGCGCATCGATCAGCTTGCGGAGCTTGGCTGTTGCTGCTTCTGTTCCATCCTGTACATCGCCAACGACGCCTTCCTGGCTGCCAACGGCGAGCGCGTTCGCAAGTTCATGAATGCTGTCAAGCGTGCCACCGAGTACGTCCTTGCTGAGCCCGCCCAGGCCTTCGAGGAGTACGTCGCCATGAAGCCCATCATGGGCACCCCGGTCAACCGGCAGATCTTCGAACGGTCGTTCGCGTACTTCAGCCGTGACCTCAAGAACGTCCAGCGCGACTGGAACAAGGTCACCAACTACGGCAAGCGGTTGGGAATCTTGGACGCGGACTTCCAGGCGAACTACACCAATGAATTCCTGTCCTGGGATCTGGATGCCGATTCCACCGATCCGCTGGGCGACCAGAAGCGCATGGCTGAATTGCAGAAGGAGGTGGCTGACCAGGGTGGTTTCCGCCGGTTGCAAGTGGCCTCTGCTTGAGTTCCTCGTTGCCTAGCTGAATGGGAGAAATTGTTTCCTGTGAACAATCTCACTGAAATTATCAGGCTAGCAGTCTCAGCTAGCTATGCACTCGTTATGAAATGAATAATTCTCAAGCCTCGGCTCTTTTCTCACTTTGCAGGAGGTGTAGTTGTTACCTGGCCCATGTAGTGATTGTGCTCCTTCCACTGGAGGTCCGTAACTTATGAACGAAGTTGTCCCACACCAACATAGCATATGCATTCTATACTTTATTGAAGCTGATAAAGTCGCTCAAACATTGCTTGCCAGTCTTAAAGGCAATCTATGAACTACACCTGTACCCCGGGTCTCATGTTCCTGCTTCGATGATCTTCATCCTCTCTGTGCGGAAGAGAGCCTATCCGGTGATGTCCTAACAGAGTCGAGAGTTCCACCCCCTCCCCACCTTCAACATCGCTCAAACTTCCCTCGTCCTCGGCGGCCCAGCGTTTCAAGGGCCGGAAGCCTCCCCGCTCCCGACCATTCACCCGACGGAGCGCAGTCCTCCGGAACAGGAATCCGAGTCGGCGCACGAGACAAACAACGACAACGAGGAGCAGCGCACAACCCAGGAGCCCGACCACAGCTGTACTCCCCTTAGTGCCAAACCGCCCTAGTCCATCGTCCTCATCTCGATCCACCCCCGAGACCACAACCGCCTCCTCAGCCGCCGGATCCCAGCGCGCAAGCTTCGACGCACTCAGCACATGGCCCGAGGCATTCAGCGCCAGCACGCGGAGATACCTGTACGCAGTCGCATCCTCCGAGATAGGGATCACAGTCTCGAACCCCACCTTAGGCACGGTCGTGACTCGCGCAAAGGCGGCGGCCCTCCCACTCCCACTCCCACTCCCACTCCCACCACCACCACCCCCCTTTTCTCCCATTCGCCCCTGCTGCTGCTGCTGCTGCTGCTGCTGCTGCTGCTGCCGCCGCTCAGCAGAAACATCATCCGTCCCCTCCAGCCCCCACGCCACCACCTCCGTAGCCCCATTCCAACTCGCGGCGGCGCGATACCGATACACCTCGAAATCCGGGCGTGTGCGCGGGGCCCCACGCCAGGGGTGCTTGAACACGCGGTAGGAGAGGATGTTGCCGAGGCCGAACTCGCGCTGGGGACCGAAGTGCACATGGCAGAGGGGCTCGCCGGCGCGCGAGAACTCGGTCCAGGCGGCGTTCCAGCCGTAGCCGACCAGCACGTTGCCGTTGGGCAGGAGCTGCAGGCTGCCCTGGCTCTGGCTGCTGAGGGCCTGGTCGGGGGCGTTCCAGTACTGGTGGCGCAGGCGGACGGTGAGGCGCGTCTGGTCGAGGTCCAGGTACAGGCCGCGGGAGGTGCGGGCGGGGGCGCCGAGGCCGCGCGAGGCGTTGTCGAAGAGCGTGATGGCGGTGTCGTTGTCGCGGAAGCGGGCGTGGTGTTGCCAGGTGAAGTTCGTGGCGGGGCCGGGGCCTGCTGAACCCCCGAATGATTCCGCGGGGGAGGAGGTGAGGTCGGTGAAGTTATTCCGCTTCCCGCCCAGCCGCCACAGGATCTCGCCCGTACGCCCGTCGACGTAGCTCAGACAGTTGGCGTACCGCGCGGAGACGAGGTAGTTGCCGCGCCGGTCCTTGTCGACGCTGTTGATGTGGAAGAAGTCCCAGGGTTGGTCCGCGGAGGCGCCCTGCCCGGCCTCGCGGCCGCGCTCGACGTCCTCGAAGGCGAAATGCTCCGAGGCGTGCCACTCGAAGAGGAGCCGGCCCGTCTCGACCTCGACCTCCTGGAACGTCCCCTCCCAGATCCAGCCGGCCACGGGGCCGACCCGGCCGGTCTCGTCGGCCACCCGCGAGAGGTCGGCGCGCCGCCGGTCGTAGCTGGTCAGCAGCGCCGTGTCATCGTGCGTGATGTGGAACTCGTGCAGATCGCCGGGGAGGTTCCGCGCCGCCGTGAACTTATACGCTTCTTGATACGAGGAGTCGAGCTTTATCCCTGGCCAACATGCCACGCATGGAGATTTAGAATATTCGTCGCACTTCTTCAGCGGTTCCTCCTTCCCCAGAGCAAAGCTCAACACTAACTAACCCCCGCTCAAGACAAGCCAGGAAAGAAAAGAAAAAGCAAACATACCATGAAATACGTGCCCCTCCCATGCCCAACATCGGCGTCGCTCCCCACCCAGAAGGTCAGATACTCCCGGCCCCGGTACCGCTGCACGTTCAGGTTGTACGTCTGCCCGTACTCCCGGGTCCAGATCAGGTGGCCGTCGGGGTCGAGGATCATGGGCCCTGGACGGTGGACGCTGGCGCCCCGCGGCGCGAGCAGGTAGTACTCCCCGGCGACCTTGCAGCGCGGACTGGTCTGCACCCAGTTCACGGCCAACCCGACGGTCGTGGTCGACCGGAAGAGCTCCGTGGGCCACGAGCCCATGCGGCCCTGGTCGTAGAGTTGCGATTGATTGTAGGGGCCCTCATCTGCGAGGACCGCCGCTGGTAGCAGTAGCAGTAGCAGTGGCAGTAGGAGGGAAGTCGGGAGGGGGAGGGCGCTGCCCTGCGTCAACGGCATGATTATCGCTGGGGAATGCGGGGCATTGAGCTGCGGGGCGGTAGCGGTAGCGGTAGCGTCAAAAACAAACACAGAAGAGAAGGCTCAGAGTCGCATATCCAGTCCGTCGGAGAGGCAGAGGTCAAAGGAAGAGGGAGCTCAGGCCGAATGAATGCGAGGCGGATCTTCGATGTTCATAAACACCGGCGGGAGATCCACACCTGGGCCGTCGGCGGTTGAAAATCGGTTGGCTGCCATCTGTGCCCCGAGGATAAGGGGGGAGGGCCCACTTAGAGTGATAGTATGAGTCTCTTGCGATATGTTTGTTAAAAGCATGGTGCATGGTGCATGGTGCATGGTGAATGATGCATGATGGTGTGGTGTGGTCCACGCGTTGGAAATGAGTGGTTGCCGCTGGGCAATGCGTTTCTCTACCACTAGACGTGTGACTAGTCGTTGGATTTTGCAGGTTGAGGAGATGACGAATCCTTAATTAGTATCGATAAAAATAATCCCATTCTCCTCACGTGAGGTTGGTACTCCTCATGAGATGCGTTCGATTTGGGAATTGATGTCCTTAGCTGGTGTCTAGGCTCCAAACTGACAGGTCTTCCAATGGCTAAATCCGAGCGTATGTATTGAATACTGATCACGCGGCGTCCTCAGACTGCAAAAGCAGATTACAGTACATTCGACCGGCAGTAAATCACAATGTATGCTGTATTTTCGTCTGGTAGTTCAGCTAGTCTATCTCAGAAGGGGGTATGTATGCACTAATTAAAAGATAGACAGAAGAAGTGTCGCGATGATTAGAAGGGGTATCGTTCGTCCGACCGTTTACTTGCTACGCTTGTAAATCTTGGACAGGAAGGCCTCGAAGACCTCCTTCTTCAAGCCCTCGGCCTCGTTGATGCTGTCGATCTTGCCGCGCAGCTCGCCAACCACCTTCTCCTCATACTCCAGGTAGACCTTCTCCAGGTCGAGCTCCTTGTAGAGAGCCTTGACCTTGGCCTCCTGCTCGCTGTCCTTGCGACCGTACGCGGCGTCGAGCACCTTGCGCTGCTCCGCGGTGCAACGCTGGATGGCCTGGTTCACCAGCCAGGAGCACTTGTTGTCCTGGATGTCGGTGCCGATCTTGCCGATGACGGCGGGGTCACCGTAGGCGTCGAGGTAGTCGTCCTGGACCTGGAAGTACTGACCGAGAGGAATCAGGATGTCGTGGGCCTGGCGGAGGTTCTCGGGGGTCGCGAGCTGGAGGTAGTGCAGGGCCAGCGCGACGGGGAGGTAGAAGCTGTAGTACGCGGTCTTGTAGGTGACAATGAACATGTACTTCTCCATGGAGAAGTTGTCCAGGTTGACGTTGTTCTCGGGGGCGGTGATCAGATCGCACAACTGGCCCAGCTCGGTCTGGTAGGTGATCTCGTGGAACAGCTCGACAAGGTCGATGTAGGCGGGGTGGGAGCGGAAGTGTTTCTTGAGGATGATGTAGATGCCGGACTCGAGCAGGAAGGCGTCGTTGATCGCGATCAGGCCGACGCCGTCGTGACGGTACCAGCAGGGCTGGCCACGGCGGGTGATGGAGCTGTCCATGATGTCGTCGCTGACCAGGAAGAAAGCCTGGAGCAGCTCCGTGAGCCAGCCGAGCATGCTCAAGTGCTTGAACTGCTCCTCGCTCAGGGGCTGCTTCAGGAGAGCCAGAGCGGTATCGGGGACGGAAAGACCGCGGTTGAGTTTTCCACCAGGAACATTGACATTGAGGTTCTATGCGCGAAGCAGCGAAAGGCTTTAGTGAGTCTACTGCCATGTATCACGATATAGGGTAGGGATTCGGCTGGACGACATACCTTCTCAAACCATTCGAGCGCATTCTGGGGCAAGTTGTACTGCTTCGCAGAGTTCAGGAGATCATCGCGAATTGTGGGGAAGATAGCCTCGAAAGAGGCACGGCTGGTGGTGGAAGGCATTGTGCGAAAGGATCACTGTGAACAGCGAGCGAGGAGGGAAGGGGAGAGAAGGAGAGAGGAAGAGAAAAGGAAAAAGAAAGTCGCAACAACGATAGTTAAACAGTGGGAGGAGGAGAGAGAGAGGGGGAAACAGACAAAGCAACCGCCAGCCAAGATCAATGCCCCATACAATTATGGGTAAATTATTGTTTGCGACGCCCCGCTGTTTGCCGCGTTTGCTACTGCTGACCCAAAAGGGAAATTCACTTACTCCCGGGCTCCATTCCAGTCCCGAGTCCAGTCCAGTCCGACCAGTCCAGCTCCTGCTGCATCTATCTATTTGTGGTTGCTCTTTGTCGCATTTCTAACCGACCTCTGGCCTCATTTCTCACGAATTCCTAGTGTCTCTGGTCATTTTGGACGCGTGACAATCGTTCCCGTACCCTTCGCCGCGGGCTTGGTCAAGCTCTCCCAAGCTCAATCAAAACAGCCTCGTGCAATGGCCCTTGCGCATTACTAGATTCACAAACCTTTTCAAATCTACTCGACGAACCGGGCATTACGGCTGTCAATCTAACTGCGTTTGCGCGCAGGATCCTTACCGCCAGATGGCTGCTCAATTCACAGATGAGAACATCAAGGAGCTGAAGTTCCGACTCGAAGATGCGGCGATCAAGTGCTCCGAACGATGCCTCTACCAATCGGCAAAATGGTACCGTCGCCAACTGACTCCTCGTCAACCCGTGCGATGAAGGAAAGCTAACAGGATTGTCAGGGCTGCGGAGATGCTCGACTCCCTCGTCCCAATCGACCAGTATGAAACGGATCCCGATTCACCAATGGACCAGCCCGATGCTCCTCCAAACGCCCAGAACCCCTACCTCCGGACCCAAGACTCCATAGAAGCGGCGCTCGAGGCGCAAGAGTCGTATAAATATCTCCTGGCCAAGTCATACTTTGACACCCGCGAATACGACCGCTGTGCCGCCGTCTTCTTGCCTCCGACTATATCCCCCATCCCTCTTGCGACTGCATCGCCCAACCCGAAACATAGGCAATCGTTGACTCCGCAGAAAGGCAAATCTAAGGCATCGCCGTTCGCAGGGGTGAAGGACAATGGTGCGACAAGGAATCCCTACCCTAGGCTTAGTCAGAAATCCTTGTTCCTCGCCTTGTATGCCAAGTACCTGGCAGGCGAGAAGCGCAAGGATGAGGAGACGGAGATGGTGCTAGGTCCTGCTGATGGAGGGTCCACAGTCAACCGGGAGTTGCCAGATCTGGCTCGAGGGCTAGAAGGATGGTTTACCGAGCGACGCGAGAAGGGACTAGAGGGTCGGAACCAGGGTTGGTTGGAATACCTTTACGGTGTCATACTCCTCAAGGGGCGGAATGAGGATGAGGCCAAAAAGTGGTTGATTCGGAGCGTGCACTTGAACCCATTCCACTGGGGCTCGTGGCAAGAACTGAACGACTTACTGGCCAGCACGGAAGACGTACGCATACCTCAGCTACATCTGACAAGTTGGTTGCTAACCACTGTGTGCAGTTGAAACAAGTTGTCGATCTTCTCCCGCAGAACATCATGACTCTCATCTTCCACGTATACTGTAGCCAAGAGCTATATCAAGCCACAGATGATACGTACCAGGCTCTGTCCGAGCTGGAGACGATCTTCCCAAAAAGCGCCTTCCTCAAGACACAGAGAGCACTCCTCTACTACCACTCGAAAGGTAAGATTGCTTCGCACGAGACGTTTTCTCTGAGCCTGACCCGACGGATTCCACAGATTTCGAAGCAGCATCGCACATCTTCACAGACATCCTCATCACCTCACCCCACCGCCTCGACAGCCTCGACCATTACTCCAACATCCTCTATGTCATGGGCGAGCGTCCGCAGCTCGCCTTCGTCGCCCAAGTCGCGACGGCGACCGACAAATTCCGTCCCGAGACGTGCTGCGTCGTAGGAAACTACTACTCGCTCAAATCCGAGCACGAAAAAGCAGTCATGTACTTCCGCCGCGCGCTGACGCTCGACCGGAACTTCCTCTCCGCCTGGACCCTGATGGGCCACGAATACATCGAGATGAAGAACACGCACGCTGCGATCGAGTCCTACCGGCGGGCCGTCGACGTGAACCGCAAAGACTACCGCGCCTGGTACGGGTTAGGCCAAGCCTACGAAGTCCTCGACATGTCCTTCTACGCGTTGTTCTACTACCAACGCGCCGCCGCCCTGCGGCCGTACGACCCGAAAATGTGGCAGGCCGTGGGATCGTGCTATGCCAAGATGGGCCGCATCGAGCAGAGCATCAAGGCCCTGAAACGGGCCCTCGTTGCCGGCTCCTACTACGCCGAGGACTCTTCCTCCCAGGTCGGTGGCATGGGCGGCGGCGGCGGCCCTGCCCGCAAGATTCTCGACCCGGAGACATTACACCAGATCGCCACACTCTACGAGCGCCTGGGCGACGAGGAGGAAGCCGCCGCGTACATGGAGCTCACCCTGCAGCAAGAGTCCGGGCAGGTCGTCCAGGAGGAGGAAGAGGTCTCGTCCGACGACGATCAGTCCGGCACGGATGTCCCGTCCAGCTCGCGCCGCACGCGCAAGTCGTCGAGGGAGGCAGAAGAAGAGGAGGAGACATGGCACGGCACGGGGGTCACCGCGACGACGTCCAAGGCGCGGCTGTGGCTCGCTCGGTGGGCGCTCCGCGGCGGCGATCTGGATCGCGCGGATCAACTGGCCGGCGAGTTGTGCCAGGATGGGGTGGAGGTGGAAGAGGCCAAGGCTTTGATGAGAGACGTTCGCGCCAGAAGGGAGGGTGGTTGATGCATACATGTTCAGGTGTCTCATACCCCTTCGAATTAGCCAGGCGTTTTTATGGAATCTCAGTTTGTAATGTGTCTCGAATTATATCTGTATACGAACTAGACAAGCCAGTACCCTAAGGGGGTCACTCGATTAAGCGATGGATTAAGCGTTGTAACTCGTATGGCATCTCATATTGACGAAACGGTCTAGTGTCTTCTGTCGATCTCATTATACATACATTCCAATGTGAACCTATGCAGAACACCCAGA